AACTCCTGAGCTCAAACAATCCGCCCGCCTCGGCCTCCCAGAGTGCTAGGATTACAGGCGTGAGCCACCGCGCCCAGCCTAGATTATTTTCTAAGAACAGGGAAAGAGCAAGGGTACAGAGGGGAAGGAAGCAGAAGAGATGAGCCCAGAAAGGGAAGCCTGGGACGTGAAGTGATATGAACAATTATAATAGCATGTGCAGAGCACTTTACAGTTTACCCCCCCCCACACACACACACCCTTTCTCCTCCATCATCCCATCCACTATCCTCCCAGTGGCCCGTGAGATCTGTAGAGCAGGCAGGCACAATTACGGTCCCATCGCATAGCCGAGGAAATTGGGGCTCCCCTGGGTTCCCTTGGCTGGGGACATTTAGCCCGTAAGTAGCAGAGTCAGAATACGCATCGAGGTCTCTGACTCCAATCCCGAGCTCAGGCACCAGGCCGGCCACGATCAGGAGGCCAGAGGGCCTTGGCGGGCAGGCTGCCAGCCGTGGATGTCCCCCCAGGACAGCCTGTCCTCCCCCCAGTTGCTGAGTCGGCGGAACCAGACTCACCGCCCACCCCTCCCGTTTACAGTAAACCCCTCTGGGCTGCAGAAATGGGACCTGAAACTGCCTGAGGGCAGCAGGGTGGGGAGACGGGGGTGAGGGGGAGGGGACGTCAGGGGAAAGGCCTTCCCGCCGCTGGAGAAGAGAACTTCCGCTTGGGACGGAGGGCAGCTCCCCCGGCTCCTGTCCCCACTGCTGGCCGGGCCCACAGCATCAGAGGACGCTGCTCCCCAGGTAAGGACGGGGCTTGGAGCCTGGGGACTGGCTGGCAGGGCCAACGTGGCGGAGGGTGGAGACTCCCTGAGTGTCGGCATCGCGTCCCCTGCCCCAGAGCCACCTGGGGTGTCTGACAGCGCAGATAGCTGGGCCCAATCCCACGCCCAAGGGATCAGGCTTGGGGGGGCACTGCGGGGTTGCGGCTGCTACCCAGGGCCCAGGGGATGGGCAGGCAGCCTGGAACGGGGGCCTGCAGCACGGGCCTTCGGGAGCTCACACACCCGAGCTGAGCCCGACTCCCGCCTTAGTGCTGGTCGTCTTGCGCAAGTCACCTGAGCTCTCAGCCTCAGGCCCCTTTCCGTACAACAGAACCTTTCAGGAGCGCTGGGGGCCCTCCAGGTCCGGGAGATCGAGCTCACCGAGCACTCAGCGCATTTCCTGGCTCAAAATCTGTCAGTAAAGCAGAGGCAGAGGCGGGATTAGAGCCCAGGTCCCCTCTACCCAGCCCAGCGCT